AATCTGTCATTTAGAGGTTCATTGTCTTTTTAAGTTGATTAGTCATAATGATCCTTGATTTTCTGATCATGTAAATCAGTTATTCCTAATATGGACGATACCACCCTTTTGAGAATTTTTTTAATTATGAGGGGGAGTTTTACTCCAGGGGGTGCTATGGAGGACAATTTTTCTGTGACTTTCATTTTTATTGTTCATAACTCATTGGAATAAAATGATAAAATGATAGATATCTGCGTACAATCAAAAATAATTTAAAATAATAATAAATTAAAATACTATTTATATACACTTAAATTACAAAAAATAACAGTAAAATGGTAGTAAACAAGCTTTTGTCTTTTCGTATCGATGCTGATAAAAACAAAAAAAGGCACTGAATATTTACTTCATTCATTTTTTTAATTTATAGTACGGGTATGTTAAATCACTAAGATTGTATTAAAATGTTAGAGAATGTTTGTGAAGTGAGGAAAATCAGACATTATCAATGAAACATTTATTTTACCTGCTGCGAAAGAAATATTATATTAGATGACAGAGACATATTCAGGAATTTGGTACTCAAGTGCTAACGTTTTTCCGCCCCCCTTATTTACGTTTTAAAAAAGAGGTTTTTCGTCGACAATTTTTGTCTCCCCTCCTCCCGTGAATATTTTCAATTTTAGAATATTATCTTAAAAAAAAAAAAATAACCAATTTATATTATTGTTTATCAATATAAAATATGCTATGTAAAAATCTGATGCCACCCCTAAAAAAATGCCGCCCGGGGCGATCGCCCCCTCTAGCCCCTCCTAAAAATGTCACTGCTCAATGATTAACTATGATTAACTATAACAATGATTAAGTATGTGACATACCTAATACCATTTATTTCTTTTTTTATAGTATTATTACTTTCATTATTATTTACTTATTATTATTATTTCACTTCACTTATGAGGGTATTTATAAACTTCCTGCTTTACGTTTTTATTGATCATAATCGAAAATCGATTTTCATAAATGCCATTTAAAGACGATATACCGGTAAATACAATGAAATTTACATAAAAAAAATTTCATGATAATCAAAAAAATTCGTAATATCGAGGAATTTATTAAATATTATTAGATATTTTATAATCTTAATTTAAAAGAAAAAAATCAGTTAGTTTCGCTTGTTTATTATTTTTTTAAATTTTACTTATTTCATAGAATGTTTTGTTTTCATTGATTTAAAAAAAATGTTATTGGGAATATTTGATTATTTTTCTAAAACTATTTATCACAACAGAAAAAACGTTTAATATTTCTTTTTCTGTGAGTTTAGGAAGTATATGTGCATGACCTTTCGGCATTATCTTCTTTTTTTTCACACCTTAAACGAATTTATTTAAAATTTATCGACGGTTGATAAACATTTACGTTTTGAAATTTTTTTGTACGTGTAATTTGAGCGTACAAATACGTTTACGTCAATACTGGAACTGCAGTCCACAGCAATATAATACAATAATATTTTTTTTCGTAATAGATACATTTAAAAATCATAAGGATGTAATATACAAGAGTTTGTAAAATATATATATATAATAGAGTCTATAAAATAGCATACGAAAATTATTTATCAACCAAAAATGACTGCAAATTTAATAACACTGTAAACTCTAATGTGGTTTTTATTTAGTCGGAAAATTGTGGCTCGTTCTATTATTCTGCCGCAGAAAAAGTCAATGGTCCACGATGAATTATTTAGCTGTCGTCTCCTTGTGTAGGTAGACAACATTGTGTTTTAATGCAAACGATAGCATGTCCAATTTGATTAAAATATAGAAAATTTTAAAGTTTTGTTTTCAAGTGTTGCAATTGTGTATACATTTAATATGTGTATACAATAACATTTAAATACATATCAAGAATGTTCGAATCGACAACTCCACGAAACTGCCCAGACGATGATATAAAAGCATTATAAAAAATTAATTAGAAATATAAGAAAAATACAACAATTTATTTTTAAATCGCTTCTTTACAAATCTGTTGTTTTTTTTTAAAACAATCTAGATTAAAATTTAAATAGGTACTAAAAATATTCACGTTACAACTCGTTGATTGATACACAATATTAGAGACATGAAATAAAAATATTAAATTGTTATTTTATATAGTCTATTGTCAAAATCGATATTACACAGTCAGTTTATGGTTAAAATAATACTATAAATATTCAAAGGTTGTCAGTTTAAGAAAATCGAAGTAGGCAAACTGTGTTCCTTGAAAAAAATATCAATTCATCTATTTTAAATTGTTCAACATTATTAGATGGATTGATTTATTTGTTTATCTTTTGATAATGTATAATTAATTTAGACATTTTTATTTAACTATAGGATTAATAGATATCTTAAATATTATATTTTGGTTTTATTATTATTATTTTTTTTTTTTTTCATAAAAACCACCGGTACAAGTAGGTATGTATTTTCAAGGTAATTATATTTTACTACCCATGTGATTAAGTGACAGGCTATATAGTTTAACTATGTATTAGATAATATTATTAAACAAACATAATTTTTTTTGTTATATTTATTTACTACCATAAAAATAGGAACTACTTGCCACAGTATAAATTGGTCACGTGAGACACGTTTAATAATGTACCACACAAAATACCAGTGGAACCAAAAAAAGTAAATACTTACTTACCTAAAAAATAACAAAATTATAATACTTCGTTGACACTTTGACATAGTGTGAAAGTATAGCACTTTCCGTCTTTCTCAGTCATAGCTCTCTTGGTTTTTTAAACTTTTAAGTGTAATTTTGAATTTGATCTTTGTGTAGAATAAGTATGAAAAAATTGAGTTATCCGTTTAGAATTATAAATTAATGTTTTCATCAGTGTTATTACCTGTCAACTGTTAATCGATATCTTTTTAACCAAAACCGATACGTTAAAATACCTTACATATTTTTAAATAAAAAAAAAACCACCACAAACGTATGTGTATAGTTCCATATGATTTATATTTACCTCCCACATCATCTTCGATTTGATCACTACTGATTTCCAGGCATACGAGTATATTGCAATTCCTACTTCCTATCAGTGGCGAATTCAGAGGGGGGGCCTAGAGGCCTAGCCACCCCTCTAGACTGAAATATATTTGATCTATTATATTACTATATAGGGGCGTCATTTATAAGTGGAAGTCAGGGTGTGTGGTTGCACCCCTTACTTTTAAAATAGTTCCAATTGGACAGCGACTTTTTGAAATATTGCACGGTTATTAACAGGGTTCAGATTTTATAGCATTTGCTACTTATTATAGGATAAAAATAGCAGAGTAAGCTATTAACTTGTGTTATTAACCAGGGACTCCAAATTAGAAATTTAATTTTGCTATTTTTTGCATATTTAAAGTATTTTAGATTTTTAGTGCTATTTTTGAAGTTTTAGTTTTATTTTGCTAATATATATAATTTTATGCTTTATTTTGTATTTTTCATAAATCTCATTTATATTGAATGAAAAATAGTATTCATTTAGATAAATCCAAAAATCCCCACATTTTTGTTTCATATTGATAATTGATAAATAATATGGTATTTACTATTTAACATGTTACTAGAGTCTATTTTTAAGTAGCCTAGCAATATCAAATATATTTATACATTCATGACCTCTTATCTGTTTTATTTATTTTTATTTTATTATTATTTTACAATATTTGTCGTCTATATTGTCTGATCTTTTGGTTCATATCAATGACCATGCAATACGACCCATTCGTTCGCGAACGACATATCACTACAGCGACAGTTCTCCGTATTATTTAATTTCGTTTCACATTCGTTTACTACTCGATTGAGTATTATATGTTTTTCTGTTTCGATACTTAACGTAAAATGCCAAAAGTTAAAACATCGAACTATTCAAGACTTAGATATTTTGCGTCTGAGTTTAATGGCAATGATGTTTTTACGATTGACGCAAGTATTCTATTTTGCAAATTGCGTGAATGTAAAGTTAATAGTGACAAAAAGTTTAACGTTACTCAACACTTAAAAACGGAGAAATAGTTACATACCAACGATGTCATCATTCAAGGTAAAACAGGTATACATAAAACAAGACGAACCACATAACGGCATGTCGACGACTGACATTTCACGACCTATCTCACGTATGAAACGAACGTCAATTTTGCCATCGATACGTTATACGGATTCAGTTAGGACGCGGCGTAAAAGTGAGCTAGAAGTGAAGGGTAAAACACAATTGCGTACGTTCGTTATAGACGATAACTTTTTAAGCTACACGATTCCGTATGATTTTACCTAATTTTTAACTACAGGATTGCGAACGCAGTTTTAAACGTAGATACCAATTTTCATACTGGTATTGATGTATACTAGGGTGACCATATTTAAAAAATATATATATATTAGGGTGGTCCTTAACTATAGAGGTCAATTTTTTTTTTTTGAAAATTGATGACGAGTACCCCAAATTTTGTTCTATGTATTAAAACAATAATTGTGACAAAGTTTGGGCGTGATATGTTTACCCCTTCCCGTGCCTCAAAGGGGTTGAATTTTTATTAATTGGGGATGAATTACCATTTTTTGCATTTACTTTCTTAAATATTGATGTTACGCAAAAAATTATAAGTACTATTATTGTAGCTATATGTATTTACTAAATAAAAGTTTCTCATAAATATGTTGTGAGGTTGATGGTTATCCGTTAATTTAAAAAAAACTGGTCAAAGTTAATGTCTTAGGAAATTTCATAATTTTTATTTTTTTCTCTTATATCTTAAATTTTAAAGTTATTCAAAAATCCTACATACATTTTGTTATAGAACGTACTATGCTATATTAATAAGGTTTCTTGACGATTTTTGAAACATAATCATTTTTTATATAAAATATAAAAATAACATTTTTATACTATTATTATTTAATTTTTAACATTTTACATTAAAAAAAGAAGAAAAAAAGGATAGAAATATAGTAACTTTACTATTTTATTGCATCTTTGGTCAACATATTTTTACTATGGCCTGGATATTTTTTACGGTATTCTTGTACTACCTAAAAAAATAAATCTTAAGTGACACTAGTTATTTTAGTAAATTATTAACATATAACTTACCTTCAATACATACTGCTTTTGATTTTCATTTTTCGTAAATTTGGTATTAAAATCTTCCATCAATTTGACTCCACGTTCGGCTGCATCATTTATGACGCTCATATGGTGTAAAATATTCTTGGCCTTTTTATAACTATCAATATTTGGCCAAATTTCCGGATTTTGTTGCAAGAAATCAATGCTTAATTTGAACCTTTGGAATATATTTTTCGATTTATGCGTCAATAATTCAAGTGGTAAGTCCTGTTTTAGAAATTGTGATACATCGCCAATTTTTAATACATATTTTTTTTGTATATCTGTGGTAAATTCATCGTCCTCAAGCTCGTCATTTTCTAGTAGTTTTTTAGCCATTTGTTTTTTTATTTGATTATCAATCCTGTCATCAAATAACGAAAAACAAGCGGTTTCTTCTCCAAGATACCATAAGTGATTAATAAATTTTTTCATAGCGATCTCAGCCACTCGCTTATCATCAGATTTATAGTCTTCAAGTTTTTTTAAAAAAAGTACATCGTTATAAGGGGCTTCAATAGCATTAGGAGACCTAAACCAAAACTCGATATAGCATTTTACAATAAAACAACAAATAGTTTTTAACGAAGAAATTTCTGCTTTCGTAATTTTAAATTGTTCTTGAAAAATGTATATTTTCAAACAATATATTCCCTTGCACATCCATCTAGCTAGATGATAAGCTCCTGGACGTCTAAAATGAATACCTTTAGGTGGTACCCCACCCAAAAAAATTATTACCAATTCCAAAAATTCTTTGTAATCATCCCTTGGTAGATTTTGGCTTAAGGTATCTTTACAAAATATTATAACATCATCGACTACTTTATGCAATATTTTTTTTGACCCCAATATCACTTACCCAAGTACTAAATTTAGTTGTATCTATTTGATTCCAGTTATTTTTAAAACGTTTAAAAATTGAAATATCGGTACCGGACATTATTGTAAGTTTTGAGTATGAGAAAATTGATTGCAAAATAATTTCAAATATGTGATGCCGACAAGCCAAAAACATTATTGGCCTGTTTAACATTTGTTCTAATAGCACACATGATCCATTTAATCTGCCGCTGTTGGATGCCGTTGTATCAAAAACAAACGCTTGCATTTTTTCCAACATATCCCAATCCTTTTATGTGTCATACACTGCAGAAGAAATTTCCTTTCCGGTACCAGATGACAAATGTGGTATTCCAAGAAGTTGTTCTACGTTTGGTGCTGTTATAATAACTGGTAATCTATCTACATTTTCTGTTCCAATCAAATTAGGAAGTATTTTTGAATCCCAGTGAACAACTACAGAATTTAAGTTTAATTGATGGAACGCTGTTTTAATTTCGGAAGATATTTGGTAACGAAAACTTTCACGAGCTCTCTTAATTGAAGAGCGACTTATCGCATAGTCTTTTACATCTACATTAAATACCTCAACACATGCTATTAATAAGTGAACTGCATCCCTGTCACTAACCTTACATTTGTCTAAAGCTGATGCTAAACGACTATTCATAATTTCTTTCCTACCTCGTTTATTTTTCACTGGCATTGTAATACTTTCACAAATTTCGGAATCTTTAGAGTTAAGCACATCACGTTCATCATCGCTTGATATACTCTCCACAACATCAACACTGTTAGTTGGGCTGAAAAAAAAATAATAGATATAGTCAATTTTATATTGTATATTAGGTAAATTATTGTTAAAAATCATTAGATAATTTTTTTTTTTTTTAATGACAAAATTAATTTACCCGGTTCCATAATCGATGTTTGTTTGCTTGAACAATTCTCTCCTTTGCTCTCGCTCAGATCTTCGTTCTTCAACTGCACATAATTTTTTGTCCACGCCTATCATATACCCAACACGACCTTCTTGTCTTTGTAAAGTTAGAAACTGCCTGTCTTCTTCAATTTTAATTATATTGAAAGCATCTCTGTGGGCAATATCAAACAAATTATTTAATGAGTTTTGAAATTTTTTTTCATTGTACTGTTGTGTTACAGACTTTCTTGTTTTATTTTTATCTAAGCTTCGCCAACTTTCATATACATTTTTTATTTTTCGAACTACATCACAATGATGTTGAGTAGGTATTCTTGCCTTTTTCCAAAACAATAAGCATTCATCAGCAACAAGGCCCGAACTATCATTTAAATTTAAATTTACAACACGCATGTTATGAAATAATACCCGAAGGCAGTCTCCATTGGATGGTAATTTATTTCCAGTAATTTGATTAACCATATTACCTAAAAGGAAAATATACTGACGAGGCATTTTTCAATCAAACGTAAAAAAGAAAAAAAAGAAACGTATAACACTTTGTGTAGAAAAGTCGCACTAACTTATGACACAATTGTGAACACTGGACGTCTAAATAAACCGACAGTTTGATGGATAATGGCAATTTAATATTATTTAATATTATGTTCTATTAATCACTTTTTCAATTTATTATGAAATACTATTTGGCTATGGCTCGTAGATAAAAATGCGATAAGTCAAAGATATAATGTGTTTGTGGTTTCATAGTCTAAAAATACACAACTAATAGTCTAAATATTATGTTATCGGAGGACAAATATCAATGTACTGATTATCGTCATCAAAAATATCGATTTATTGTAAAAACAAAATTAAAATTATTTATAAACAAAAAATAATAAAATTAGGGCGAATCGTTAAACATTCCGGTTTCTTGTTAACTGACGGTAAACCATCAACCTTACAACATATTTATAAGAAACTTTTATTTAGTAAATATATATAGCTACAACAATAGTACTTAGAGATTTTTGCATAACATAAATATTGCAGAAATTAGAGGTCAAAAACTAAAAACTTATGAAATTTCCTAAGACATTAACTTTGACTAGTTTTTTTTAAATTAACGGATAACCATCAACCTCACAACATATTTATGAGAAACTTTTATTTAGTAAATACATATAGCTACAATAATAGTACTTAAAGTTTTTTGCGTAACATCAATATTTAAGAGAGTAAATGCAAAAAATGGTAATTCATCCCCAATTAATAAAAATTCAACCCCTTTGAGGCACGGGAAGGGGTAAACTTGTCACGCTCAAACTTTGTCATAGTTATTGTTTTAATATATAGAACAAAATTTGGGGTACTCCTCATCAAATTTTTCGATTCAAAAAATAAGGACCACCCTAATATATATATATATATATATATATAGAAATATATAAATTCATAAATTCTAACACTTTAATTTTTATCGCTTCTTGAGGGTTAAAATACCAAATTAGGTTTGGAACCAGTTTTAAATTTTTATGGTTTGATGTGTCCATCATAATTTTTAAAATTTAATGGATTTTAGTTCATCTAACATCTGTTAAATGGCAAAAGGAGCTATTACATTCACAATTTGTACGAGCACACTAACATTTTTTTTTCATAAATTTTTTTTATAATTTATGTTATACAATCCATAGACCTGAATGAATGATTGTGTATGATAGTATGATATGCAAAAAGACTCTCTTCCATCGCAATACGTTGCTTTCATTAATTGACTGTGAATTAGTGAAAAAATTAGTTACCTTATTTGAAGAGCTGCTTGATACGGCCAAAAAATGTAGGAGCGTCTAAACACAGGAATGCACCTTAAGCATTCTGCGCATGCGCGTAATTTATTCACCACTATCATAATGTTAGGCTGTTACATAGAGTTACTCTATGGGCTGTTATCAATATATCATATCAAATCACTATAATACGATAATAATATTATTATAATAATATGAGTTATGAATCAAACTATTCAAAATTTAACTACATACTTCCTATGTAAATAATATATTGTCATTTTATTTTAGTTGTGGAATAATAATGTTCAGTTTCGTTATAATTTTTTTTTTTTTTAGTAATATATTATTGAGATGTTTAGTTTCAACACTAGTGTCATGTACTATTTATACATTATATTTTTTCATACGTATTTTATAGTTACTACGTATTTACAATTATAACCATAAACAAATAAGTAGAAGTAATATGAACCACGTACGAATCGTAAAATCTCGAATAGGAAAAAGTTTCGAAACAGCATTAGCAACCAAATGTATCCAGCCATCCAGTATATACGCTCAGTTTATATTTGTTACCATCATTTACTTTGTCTATGTTGATGTTAAATTAAAAAATGTTAAATAAAATATCAGTAATACCGTAATAAGTATTCTTGATAAAGTTATTAATCTAACTTTAAAATCCTTACATCCTAATATTGTGTAACCGTGTTGAACTCACAACTCGGCGCACTACACTAGTTGGTTTTGATAATTCATACTTGTACTTACTATTAAGATAATGTCATTTTTATAGATATTAGATAATATTGAATTTTTATGTTTAAGATGTTTGTAAATTGTATTGTAATTACTCAATAAAATATTTAATAAATAGCCTTTGTGTAATAAATTTTGATAACGTCTGGTTTATGAATGTTCAAATAGGTAATTGGGTAAATGTAGATATAAATGAACATTTGTTCCGCTGTAGTCCAAACAAAACAGTCGATAGGCATATGATTATTATTATATGTATCGCTCGAGGCAGGTGCCTAGCTCGCCTATACATTGAGCCGGCCCAGTGTATATGTGAAAATTACTTAAATTGGATACAGATAGCAACTGGCCAGCATTGCATCGTTAAATCTAAAGTTTTATTTTATATGTTATTAGTAGTGCAGAGGACTTGTAGAATTTGCATAATTTTTTTGCACAATCACAAAAATAGAAGAGTGCGAAACAAATATGTTTCATGCTTCCACAAAGCTAGTTTTGAAATTTTACTGTCCATATAAATGCATATTTTGCGATTTTCTGGTTTTAGGGCATATTTCTTCCATTTTATATGTACTTTTAGATGCATATTTTAAATAATTTTTAATTTTATCAATATTTTTTCGCCGACCTTTTAATATATTTATTTATACAACCAAAATAACATTGAATTTAAAATTATTTTAAATTTTAATTATAATATTAATATGGATTTTGACTTTTCCCAGACCCATCATGGTTTGTTAGTGGAGATGTGGCTTTACTTATTTTATCTAATCTTGTTGATAAAATACCCAAAACAACATATATAGGTATATTATTATAACCACTACTACATTTACACAATCGTTGGTAAGAATTACGTTGTAGCCAAGTTAAACCATCAGCACTGAGGCGTTCCCATATGGGTACACAAGTATTGCTTTTTTTAAACACGTTGTTCATGTATTATTATTATTGTATGCGTTTGTATGTTTTCTTTTCTTAATTTTGATATAATATTTAGCAGTTAATTCGTAAACAGTGTCTATTGAAGATATATTATTTCAATCAAAATTTTAAAATAAGAGATTTTTTTGATTTTTCTGGTATTCGACTACAGATTGTAAGTATAAACTATTATTATTTATAAATGGGTAATTAAATATTTGCATCTTATATGTTCTTACAAACATTTATTTGAATATTTTTTTCAATTTGTTATTTCTATAATTTAACAAATTACCTTTCCATATTGCATATTTGCATCTCACTTTTTGCTTTTGAAAATTTTAATAAAATGAATAAATAATTATCACTGCAAAATCAAATATAAAATTTAATAAAAATTGAAATTTTATTTTTTGTTTTGCATTTTTTGTTACATATTTTGACTTCTTTTAGTGCATTTTTGCATGCATATTTTATAATTTAAAACACATATAAATCTGATCTTTAATTATAAGTGAACAAAAGTAAAAATAAAATATGTATGAAACGGGTCAATTTTTTAAAAAAATTATATGGTCGAATTAACCGTGGTTGTTATTATCCATCGCGTATTTGTAAATAAATATTTATAGAATTGATAATTATCTGGACCTCCGTCTTTTGTGTTATTGAGCAATAAAAAGCAAATAAAAAGCACCTCCTTCAAATTGCAAGATAGATATACTACTACAGAACGCCGCAGCCACGACGAGACGGTAGTAAAACGGCGACGACACTTACCCAATAAGTTGGCCCACCGGCCCTCACCCGGGAAAACACCGAGATGAACTTTTCGATGAGCGTAAGCAGTGGTGGATAGTGCTCGTCGTTCAGAAGACGTTTGGTTTTCAGCTTACCGCTGACAAACGATCTTAACTCTCCACGGGCGGTTCCGTCGGTCCTATACAGCTGGGAGCCCGTCACCTGCGGCCGCGTAACACGTGATTTATTGATTGTTCAAAACGAATATCAAATCAATACGATGATAATCGCCAAAAGCCTCTCTATAAACACCAGATTATATGCGAGTGCGCTATGACACATATACAAACCGTTGAATTGAAATCCTCGTCGAGAAATTGCAAAACAAAATACTGATAGAACGTGTGTCAAAGCATGTTCCGGCGTCTCGGGTCCCGTTTCATCAGGTCGTCGGGTTTCCTACGGATAATGTCATCGTACACCGCGTATAATGGTAGTAGTGGGTCTGAAAAACGAATCGTGCTCAGAGTTCAGCGTCCTCACGCATGGCGCGTAGGTATATTAAAACGTAAAAAGTTACCGTCGGTCGGACGGTGCAATGGGCAACCGGGCGGTAAGATTCTCGTGTTCGTCATTGCATTGCCGCCACCGTCCGAAAACATTCCTTTTTTCATCCGTCTCATATGCTCTTGGTAAACTGAAAAACAACGCAATAATCGTAATAACAGATCGGACGCGATGGAGACCATGCGCCGAGTATGAGTAGCTTACACGAGAAGATTGTCATCTGCTGGAGATCCGATGTGAACGGAAGAAACGACCACCACATGAGAGGCATGTCTCTGCGAAGGTCCGAGTTCGTGCTATCGAACAGATGGCCCATATACCGGAACGCCGCCAAGAAATACGACTCTGCGCGGGAGTAAAACGCAAAAGCCAAACGGTTTATTACAAGAATTAACGTTCACATTTTTATATTGACGTTTGAAATATACTTCATCGCCACCATCACCAGAAACCTAACCCCACCCTGTTTCCAAACATATTGATCTCCCTTTAAATAGTGGACGCCTCCGAATATTCATTTCGACGACCAAGAGCAATGGTGTGCAACCTTTTTTGTTCCACGACCCACAAATGAATTTTATTTAGATGAGGCGAACTACAAAAAACTTTCTTCTTAGCAACATTAAGTAAGTATATAACATAAACTTACTTGATGTATACAAACATTTTATTCATATAAATTATATTGTTAACTTTAGGCAATTTTATTATTTCTTTAATTTAATTAATCTAAAATATAAAAAAAAATTTAAAAAAATACAAAATTATAGTTTTATAAAATCTAAGATGCAAACATAAGTTATATGAAATAATATACATAATATTTAACTTTTTATTTGGTATTAAGTTATTAGCGACCTTCTAATAAAATTCGGCAACCCCAGGTTGCGCACCACTGACCTAGAGCTGTTTAGAGGTTTCATCGTATCACATCATATCATAGTTTTACCAGAATGCGAGCAACGTGCACCATAGTAGCCATCGACGCACTTGCACGTGAAACCGTAACCTTTGTCCAATGGATATCCGCCGTTCTTGCAACTGAACCGGTCGAATGCTTGGCAGTACGTCTCGGTCGGAGAATCTGAAACTATTGCATTAGACACGCGGCGTGGACACGACCGAAATATGATTAGCTGCGTGAAGAAAGAGAAAAAAAAGGAAAAAATTATAGATATAAAAAATAAAAATGTTTTATCATGGCTTACCTTTGGTCCCTTTGGATCTACTGTAGAGAATGTGGTGCCATACAAACAACGAGACAACGAATACAGCTATTATCAATGGAAACGCAAACCTGGATACGAAACCTATACGTGGAAATAACACACCTCCAATGCAAAATGCAATGCACCATAATAATATAATTTATTATAGAATATATTCTAATTATAATCATATAGCTTATGGCAAAAAAAAAATGGTAAATTATTTAAAAAAAAAACTGATTTCGTAGATAAATAAACAAGTACGAAAAAATGTCTTTTAATTAAAAGACTATCAGATAAAAGAGAAGATTGGTTATATTGATGATACGATACGGTTTATTAAATAAGGAATTATTAATAATTTTCGTGCATTGTGATCTATTAGTGAATTCTAAAATTGAAATATTAGTTTAAAAATCAATTAAAAAAATGAAAAGAAGTAGTGATCTATCTTAATTATTATTAAGTTTTGGTGTGAAAAAAATTAAAAATAATACAGAAAATGAAAATCTGTCAGGAAATATTCATGGTATTGCTACTGATAATGATGTACTAAATATTCTGCAAACATATTCTGAGTCAAATAATACCAATGAATTATCTGAAAATAATTCACTTGGTATTGGATTATTTTTGATATTAATGACGGAGAAAATACGATTTTTTTAAAAATCCTTGGATACCATTCAAAAATTATAAATTTCCTATTGAATCACAACGGCGACTAACATTTTAAATTGATTAGTTAAACCGTTATTCTTGGCTAGTCTACTCGGAAAAATTACAAGGTTCATTGTGCAGATGCTGTGTTATGTTATATTTGCCAATAATATAGTTGGTAAAGGGACATATCAATAATTAGGTGCTTTGATAATTAAAAATTTTACAAAATGAAAAGACGTCATCCAATGTTTTAATGATCGTTAAAAATCAGAGCACTATAAACTTTCAATTATTCGTTCTGAAGAATTTATAAGTCATGGAGAACAAAAAAATAATATAGCAAATTAAATAAATATTTCATAAATATTTCTTCATTCAATAATTAAAATAATACTATTATGCGGGAAACAAAATATTGCTTTAAGAGGAAATAATGATAGTGGTAATATCTATGATGAAAGTGTACAAACAAATTATGGTGATTGTAAGTCTTTACTAAGATTTAAATCGATGACTGATTATATTTTAGTCAAACATTTAAAAACCGATACATTTTTTGAAAATCATACCAGTACCTATGTCCAAAATGAGATCATCAAAATTTGCGATGATTTAATACAAGAAAATATAATAACAAAAATTAAATATGCTAGATTTTTTTCAGTTTTGATTGATGAATCACAAGATGTATCTCGACTAAAACAAATGTAATGTTGTATGTAGTATGAGCTAAACTTTATTATAGAAGATTTTCTTGAATTTTCAATTGTCCACTATATGATTGGTTATCTACTTTAATATTTCAGTTATTAAAAAAATTCGGACTTCAACATTTTTTTTTAATTGGACAAGGTTACGATGGCGCGACATTAATGAGTGGGAAATTTAAAGGCGTCCAATTATACATTACAGGTAACATATTGTATTAATAGTATTTTTATCTTAAAATCTCATAAAAATATATATATACATAAATATAAATAAATAAATAATATATAGGTTTATATATCGAATATAATAAAATGTAATTTACATTTATATACAATAGGTAATAAGAACTAATAATAATTTATTTTAAATTAATGACTATTTAAGTTGAATTATCTTTTTTTCTTTTTTAGACACCAAGTCACCGTAATTAGTAACCTAAAATCTTTTATTAATTTTGTTTTAGAGGTTGTACCATACGCGATGAGTGTCCATTATGCTTCTCGTTCTTTAAATTTGGCTAAAAAACAGCTAATGAAAAATTTTATCTATTAAACTGTCCCCTAAAGGTTCTTTAGTAATAATATTTTTTCTGAGATTCATCAAAAAGAATACGAATACTAATTGAATATATTAATGAGTATGTTCCCTAAAATTGAAAAAAGAAACTAATAAAAATGTGTGAATGACTAAGTTTTTATTGAATCTAGGACAAAATATCCTGTACTAAAATATCCAAGTTAAAACATCCAAGGTTAAAATATCCAATGGATAAAATATCCAGGGATAAAATAACCAATGTATAGGACAAAATATCCAAATAAAAAAAATAATAAAAATCTATATAACTGTACATAATTTTTTTATTTATTTATTTATTTTTATTTAGATACATGGTTCATTTTTAAATCAAAATTAATATTATTTAATATTTTATAATATAATAATAAAATAATAATAGTAAAAATAAAACTATGTTACGTTGTAACGCACTACATAAAACTAAAGATATAATAAATATACAACACAACATATTATTTTTATTATTATTATTTTATAACTATATTACAAAGTATTATTAATATTAAATGTTATATTGAAATGTGATCTAAAAATGAACAATAATTTATTTAAATAAAAAAAATTATACACGTATTAATAATAAAGATTTTTATACATTTTTTTTATTTGAATATTTTGTTCTATATATTGGTTATTTTATCCCTGGATATTTTATCTGTTGGGTATTTTAACCTTGGATATTTTATTACAGGATATTTTGTCCCAATGACGTTTTTATTATAGCCTTACGTATGATTTAGAAGTATATAATTGTCTATTGCATTACAATAAGTTGATGCAGGGGCCTATAATATAATATTTAGACTTACTTCTAGGGGGGGGGGGGAGACTCAAATTTTTTTCTTTAATTCAGGCTCAAAATTTTTGATAATATTTAAATCAGGTGAATCCTTAATATTTGTGTTTTTTTTTTTTTTTTTTAATCTAATGCCTCAACCACTTAGAATGGACTTTCGTGTAATTCTTTTTTAACACCTATCAATGTTTTGAAAGTTTCGCTTATGTTTTATTTGATTTTTCACTAAGTATGGACCAGGACTTAAATCAAAATAATATATATTGTTTACCGTTATGGGACGTTGTAAGCAAGTGAACATTTAACGCTATAAATAATTTAAACGTTATTCAATTTAAGCGTTTAAACGTTATACAAATTTAAACGTTTTCAAATGTATTATTTAGCAATCAATACTATATAAAATAACATTATATATTTTAAATATTATATTTTTTATATATTACCTTTAACCAGTGGTGTATTGGTAATTATATTTGAGGGTATATGCACTAAAAAAATATGTGGATATTAATCCTAAAATAAATTTTCTTGCTTTGCTCGACAATTGTTTTCTCTCGATACGTTTGAATAAATGTAATTAATCCTTTGTAACTATATTTTTATAACTTCTATTATGACTATAAAATATAACATCACAAGATATACATTTTCAGCGCGTTATAAATTGCATGATGCAGATTTAAAAACCGTGGGCTGAATGTTCACACTCTATACTATTTTATTCGATGTTATTCACTACAGGGGTTGGAAGCGGACCTTTTTTAAGGGATTGTGTATAGACAATACCTTATATGCGTGATGTTATGCCTTGTAGTGTGTGCGTTAGTAAATGATTATTAGTGTGTGTGTGTGTGTGTGTGTGTGTGTGTGTTTGTGTGTGTGACTTCCCCGAAATAATACACTCCGACCTTATCAGCAAACGGACTGTCATTAGTCATTATCATCGTCGTTTATACGCCATAAGACATGTAATATTATTTAATATTATTATTATTTATCAATTCATAATAATTAATAAGTATAACGCATTTGCAATTCGAATGCGGGAATCATCAGTTGCCAAATTTTATAAAAAAAAAGTTCTAGAACGAATATTCATAACATCTAATTATTAATTAATTCAAGATGTATTAGAAATAAAATAAAAAGCTAAAGGTGTTATAATTACAACAAATAAATTTGTAAGTTGTATGGTAATTATATTCATATAATTTATCACAATAACTATAATAATTATTATCATACTATAACTACATATTGTAGTATTACATTTTTTTTTCGGGAATGTCTGGCCTTATTGGTAAT